TTGGCCTTGGTATATACTGAGTTGGTTTTGACATATTCTGAGATAAGGATGTCATACTGGGATAAGGAGCTGTCATACTCTGGTCGTAGGCATCCTCCACTCCGACACGGCTTGCACGATGAGAGCCCTGATCTGGGACGGTCCATGTCTGAACCGGAGAACAAAACGCTGCTATATTTTGTGGACTTGGTCTGGCGTTAACGGTGTACTTTTGACCCATAAATCCGCTATATATCGACCCGTCACCATGTGGGTTAGTAGGGGATGGGGCTGTTCTTAGGGGTGGGGCTGTTCTTGGGGATGGGGCTGTTCTTGGGGGTGGGGCTGTTCTTGATGGTGGTTTCGTTCTTGGGGGATGGCCCTTAAAATGTCCTCCAAATAAATCGTCCATGTTTAATGAAGTGGACAGTTCATCGCGTACTTCAGTAGTTTGTGATGATGTTGATACAGGTACCTTCCCCTGAAAATAAAACAGATTAATAATTTAAAATGAACTAACAAACTCTCGTCTCATCACGGCCATTGCGCCCAACATAAACATAATTGCCCAACTTAGTCATTCCAGGGGCCCATTCTTCTGCATGACCTATGCTGCCATATTGTTCTTTTGATATATACCATATCATAGCATTTCGCACTATTTGATCGCTCACAACCAAGGCTTGGTGTGGATATCTATGCACTGTGCTTACCACCCTACGCCTCTATCCTTGTAAATAAAGTGCATAACTACGCCAAGGTCCTACATTGTTGTCAAGACTGTCCTGGCTACTTCTGTCCCCAAATATCCTCTACTCTCAATAGATGGACATAATTGTGACATAAATAGTGTCTCTGTAAATTAAGTGCACAACTAGGCGAAGGTCCTAAAATATTGTTACGACTGTCCCTGACTGCTTCTGTCCTCAAACATCCTCTACTCTCATAAGACGGACATAGTCGTGACACGAATAAATGGAGTAGACGCTCTACAGTAACTACGCAGTGGACAAACTAACGTAACTACGAAGCGGACATATTAGTAGCTACGGAGAGGTCATACCACAGTAACCACGTATTCGACATACTTCAGTAACTACGGGGTGGTCATACTACAGTTTTCATGGATTAGCCATACTCCGTAGCCACCGAGTGATATACTGCCGTGAGCACTGTGTCGCTGTGCTACAGTAACTACACACATATTTGAATCTGAGAAATGCACACAACACACATGACAGATCGTACGTTTGTGTTTTTTTTAAATGCAATGAATCCAGTCGTATTTATTGTTTTTTTTCATGAATAGTTGACGTTCTATGAGGCCCTGATACTCATTCATTTGCCTCATGTAAAGGAACAATGGGTCCAGATAAGAATTGTGGAGGTCAAGCACAAGCCCAATACAAACAGTCCCAGTGGATCCACGGTGAAAATTATGGGGGGGGGGGGGGGTTAGATAGAGTAAATTGACGATATATAATATTGGGTGAGTGGAAGGAGGTAATTGGATCAATATATTAAAATTTATTAAACTGAAAAACTGAAATGCAATTTTTTTTTATATGTCTGATATGTTTGATAACTCAATTGAATTAATTTGTTGAATAAAATTTATTCAGATTAAGTTTAACTCATTAAAGAAAGGTTGATACTATTTGGTTGTTCTGATCGTCGAGCCACTTTGAACAAATCCTAGAAATGTCCAAAAAATGTGCTCGTTTTTTTCCCAGTGAAAATATCAATCGACCTTCTCTAATCGATGTAGTAAATTATGCAAACACATCAATGCTTAACATAGTTATTAACCAATCAGACGTAATCATAGTATAAATGGGCATTCAATTTTCTACATAAAGCAGTAATTAAAGCTTGAATACAACTCTAACATGTAATAGAAAACTGTTAAAGACAATAAATTGTGCAGTTGATCTTCAAGTTATCACAGACAGAGTTCACAGACAGTTCTTTGTGTAGAGAGTGCAAATACAACTTTACAATATCATTTCATAAAACACATACAATACGTCAAATATATATATATATATATATATATATATATATATATATATATATATATATATATATATATATATTGCATGATCTCGAGAGACAACACCCTATTGAATACCAAAGAATTTCTCCTACTGCTTGAAGAAAAAGTTTTATCTTAAGTCAACACAACTAGCTGCAAGAAAGAACTATAACACAATTTGGGGAATTCCATTTACTGCTGCTTTAAAATTTAGCGTTTATGGGTATTCCCTTTTCTTTGACCGTAGTTCCGTGTTACGTGTGAAGGCCTAGAACAGGGGTCTCAAACTCGCGGCCCGCGGGCCATTTTCGGCCCGCAAGACGATATTTTGCGGCCCGCTACATGACAGAAAAGTTTAGTGTTAATGCGGCCCGCACGTTTTCCCTATTCTCATATGCATAGTGTGATCCTTCACGATGGTTTCAGTCAAATCTCACCGACTATTCTAATTCTGTTATTATGTTTGGATAGGTTCGGACGTTTTAAAGTAGGACTAAAAGTTTTTATTTTATTGCATTCATGAGACAAACATAGCCAAAAGCAGTTTGGAGAAAAGTTTTAAAAATTCAATTATTGGGTAATGTCAACCATAATTGTGTAAATAATAGCAAATTGATGGAGTATCAAAGATTTCCTATTAAAATTGCCGCTAGTGTTTATGAGTGAGGGAAATAGCGAGCCTGTCAGCCTGGTCACTTTCAATATGGTTAGTCAAAAAGTCCTTTGCTACGATAAAAACATCTAAATTCATTCTAATAGCATCTTCCTTCGCATCAACAATTCATAAGTATTTCCTGCTCCTTACTACTGCTTGTACACGTTTTAGCATTTATAGCCTTCATGGAGAAGGATGGGATGGTTGTTCCTGTACTAAGTGGTGGCAAATGGCTCATGGACTTGGCTTTTCTTGTTGACATTATACATGAGCTGAATGTACTCAATAAGAAATTACTAGACCAAGGGCAACTTGTCATTGTTGCCTATGGCAATGTCAAGGCATTCTGGAAAAAACTTGTGTTATGGTTCTCAGAGAAACTTCTGCCATTTCCCAACAAGCAAAGTACTCATGGACTTGGGCACACCATTCAGTAGTAAGTATACGGATGCTATTGCATTTTGCACCAAATCTAAATTATCACTAATTATATCACTTTTGTCACTAAAGAAGTTAATTGAGGGACAATTGCTACGCTAGAGAAATACTTTAGATTTACCCCTTTTCTTGCCCTTGAATTACAACTTTTTTTCTCTAAAAATTGCTAAAAAACTAATCTTAAATTTACAACTAAAACTCTATATATGATATAACTATATTTTATATTACAGGAATTCGATATATATTGATATCTTCATCAAAAATTTAAACGAATTTGTGCCTTTTTAAAAAAAATTATACATTATCAGAAAATCGTAAAACAAAAAATTCTTTTATCAAAGAAGAATCTCGCAACCGTTTTTCACGTCTATAACCGACTTGTGTCTTTTTTTTTTTCTTTATTGTTCATCTCATCAAAATATAAACCCAATTTAATTTTCGCAAAGTAAAAACAAAAATACATATATGCTTTCATTTTTTTTAAAGAAAATATTAACCCATCTCCATTTTTCAAAATTAAATGTTCAGGTGTGTAAAATGATTGGGTTTTGATATTCATGGGTATACATGTATACACGTACCCACGTTTTGTTAACACCATTGATTTTCTTAATTGTTTAGCAAATGTTTATTTGTCAAAAGAGAATGTAACATCTCTTTTATCACAAATGTAAATACTATAGGATTTAAATATATTGTCATCCACGTAAAAATGTACACATCCTATTTTCTACATCCGATAAGTATGTACCCATAGGAGGTTAATTGTTTATCAAATTCATTCCTTTATTTTGAGAATTATCTTGTGCTGCCTGGGGCAAAAGAGCCACTCCCCTAAAGATTTTTAAAAAAAATTAAAGTTAATACAATCTTCCACCGGATAGTAATCCCTTCCAATACCCAAACTAACTTGCACTTCATAGGGTTGTTCTTATTTGGATGAGTTTTAAGTGGATTAGTGAATGCCATTTGTGAAACGCAATAATTGTTTAATCCTTAAATGGGTACGTAGCAGTATCTTGCAGTTGTGAACTTGTTGGATCCACGAATCAAGGCTGCTGTTTTCACACAAGAATCTAATCACGTTTGCTGTTATTTCATCAATAGCAATTTTCATTTCAATATGAATTTTTAAAATAAATTTGATGGTGTGCGGTAAGTTGAAAACAAACCGTCCATCCATATCCTCCTCTTATAAATTGTGCATCAGTATAATCGCCAAGAAAGGAGGATGTTATCAATCGTGTGGCATTGCAAATCTATTTTTTTTAAATGGATTGATTTTTCGTTTTTAGCATTGATTAAGTTCCAGATTTTTTTATTTCCCCAAATGAAGAATGAAGAGGTATGACTGATGGCATTCTGAGGATTTGGATTGAGGAACTTGCAGTTCGGATAAAGTCAACTTCGTGAAAACATAACATCCACTTTTAATTTGAATTTTTCATAGTGATATTAATTTCTGAAATGTGAATCGTATTTATGACAAATGCTGCTTTAGATGACCCTCTTATATTTACAAGCTGTACATATTCTGTGGTCAGTTCCTGGTTCAAACTGGTGGACAAATTAAAATTGGACAATAGACGTACCAACACCATTCTACCTGGTAAACTACAGCCATTTTCATATGATGATGGTATGTTCAAATCACGTGTCGATGGTGTGTGCAAGTCACATGATAATGGTATGTGCAAGTCTTATGATGATGGTTTGTGCAAGTCATACAATGATGGTATTCAAGGCATATGGTGTTGGTGGTTGTGCGCAAGGCACATGAGGATGGTGTGTGCAGGTCATATGTTCTGGGTGTGCGAAAGTCAAATGATGAAACAAATACTTTGACATTCTTTAAAGATAATGTTATAATTCTATAGTTAATAAAGTGCGTGGTGGTCCATTATAATAACTTTGCATTCAGTATTTAACAATAACATTATTTAGCTCATAGCCTATAAGAAAACATCCTAAAACTAGTAATAAAAAGCTTTTATTTGTCTATTGAGAAAACTCTTTATTTCTTCTTTACAAGCCGATGGAATAAAAAAAAAAATAAGAGGTTCGGATATTTAGTAAAAAAAAATATTCTTAATCTACATTAAGATTAACGTTGAATTTATTTCATAAATACAAATAGCTGACTTGTGTACTTGTGTTTGTATAATCAAGTTAAGATTAAGATGGAATAGAGTACAGTTAGAATTTATTGTTACCTTGTAGATAACTTCAAGAAACCAGATAACACCATGAATTATTTATTAAATTTAAAAATGCCACTTTAAGTTCTGAGATTTCATAAATTTTAAATAACTTCCCATTGCCAATTTTTTTTAAAATTCCCGATTATGTGGTTAATTTTTTTTTCATTTCTCATTATTACATGATTCTATTTCAGCTTACTTCTGTGGCGTAGATGTTGCCAGATTTTAGTACAGCATGGAAATTGTAAAATAATAAAAAATTGCTAATGAGCATTTTGTGGTCCTGCCAGATACATTCAAATGTATGTCTTAATTCTTACAAAGTTTGACAAATTATGTATAGCTACACGTTTTATGCAGAAAAACTACCGTCTCTGCAATATAATTTTTGCTGACGTTGATGTGTCAAGTATCCGACCTCATCCTGCCACATGTTTGCACTATAAACCTGGTTGACCTCTTGACAATGTGCACATGCATGTGTCATATAACTGATGAATGTTTCCAGATCAAGATCTTCATATTCTGTATCGCTGACGTAAAAGTAAAGACTTTTGTGTTTGGCGGCCGAAGCAAGTTCATCTTTCTTAGAAAACATCAAATCTCGAACCCACTCGTTTTCTAAAACAAATAACAAGTATTCATTTTTGTACTGCTGAAACTTTTCTCGAGAGTTCCCCCACTTTAGAATCATTCCATGCTCATAAGCTGCCATCGTGTCATGGTGGCCTTCATCGGATAGTTGCATACTGCTTACAAGTTCTAACATGTAATCAACAAAATCTTCAGCAGACTTCACAAAGCGAGCCGTTGTCGTTTCAGCCGTCGTCAGATTTAATTGTCTGATAATTATTCTGTAATGGACCAATGAGTTCAGCACACGAAGCCGACAGTCATGTTGTTTGGCAATCTTTTTCAATATTTCCTCCGCCTCCAAGGCTTTTTCATAAGCTTCCATAAAATTTTGCCTGATCAAAATTGAAAAGAAGATCAAAATCATCATTTGATTTGGAAAATAAATATTTTCAATTGTAGCATATTCATAGAAATGTAGGGAACACAGCTAACCATGTATTTTGACTGCCTAGTTTTATTTATTTTATTTTTTTTTAATTTTCCCTATGTTCTGTTCTCTTAAGCCACAAATAGAGAGTTTTAAATCATAATTACTTTTTTTTTACAAAACTTGTTTTTATTGAGGATTACTTTTATTTTTACTTCTTTTTTTGAAGTGTTTTAAAGTTTCGAACCATTTAATTATTATAAATAAAGTTACTAAGAATATAAATATAAGACATTATTTTAAATAATGCCCCCCTCCCCCCCCCCGGACCCACCTCTTGATAGATAGATATTTTATGTGAAAGAGCTAGTGAAAAAAAACGTAATTCTTATAATGTTGTTGAAATTTATTTCCGTGTATTTCAAAACTATTTAAGAGCGCATGACATTAGCCACAATTATCTCACTTTTTGATGCTCAGTTCAGCTAGATGAGCCAATGTCAAGGCCGTATTGTAGTGAGCCCCTCCTCGCTCGAGTTGGATTTCAAGGGCTTTTTCCAGGCATCGTTTGCCACGCTCTGGAAAATGAATATAGTTTAAAATGTTTTAAGCATTGCAATCTTCTTTTTTTCCTTGAATAAACCATGTTAATGAAGTGTATTTTCACTAAAAAAACAGCAAGTCGAAATACTTATTACATGAACATAGAATGTAAATGTTTACTCAAGAGAAGGGCCGACTGTTTGGATCATTCAAATATAATAATATGAAAAAACATAGTATTGGCCATAGTATAATTAGTTCAAGGCCATAGCTTAATAAGTTAATGGCCATAGTGTAATTTATTAATTTAAGTACAATCGTTTAGTTAATGGCCATAGCTTAATAAGTTAATGGCCATAGTGTAATTTATTAATTTAAGTACAATCGTTTAGTTAATGGCCATAGCTTAATAAGTTAATGGCCATAGCTTAATAAGTTAATGGCCATAGCTTAATAAGTTAATGGCCATAGCTTAATAAGTTAATGGCAACTGTTGAATTTGTTAACGGCCATGGTTTTATTTTTTTAATGGAGATAGCTTCCTTTGTTAATGGCCGCAGTTTAATTTGCAGTCAGGGAAAATGAGCCGGAAAAAAAGCAGGTAATTCAACACTTTGAGCGGTCACAGCTCACCCAGCTGATTAAGTCTTGCAAAGCACATTCCGATGTTGTTGAGTGGAACCACCAAGTCTTCGGGACAAATTTTTTCAAGGTAACTTCTCTGTATGTAAGCTCTTTGATACCACTCAAGAGCTCCTCTCAAATCTTTGTTACCTATTAAATGTATTAATTCGCAAGCTCATTAGACATTACATTACATCATTCTAAGCATTATTTTTAATACCACTAGATTCGTTAAGGTACTAATACTTTTTTACAGACTCTCAAACACTGTTAGAGGTTAATTTCACAATGATAACTTGTGTAGAGCTAAGTGGACAACCCAGACACAAGAGAGATAACTGTGACACAGGAAACAGTTTAAAGTATTTCAAATGGTAAAAATGTAATTTTTTTTTTTTAACATGCAAGAAAAATATATGAACCAAATGTTCCACTTGTAAATTTTCCAGTTGTTATCTATACCATCACAACTATGATTAAATATCTATTTCATCCTAATTAGGATACAATTTTGAGTTCATCCTAATCATTATTAAATATCCGACCCATCCTTATTACTTTCAAATTATCCACCCCCCCCCTATTTGGGATAAAAAATGTAACCAAGCCTAACTAAGGTCAAATCTCAAATCCATCCTAAAATATCTAACTCTGTCTAACTATGATAAAATCTCTAACCCATCCTGACTATTATAAAATATCTAACTCAGTCTAACTATGATAAAATCTCTAACCCATCCTGATTATTATAAAATATCTCAGTCTAACTATTATAAAATCTCTAACCCATCCTGACTATTATAAAATATCTAACTCCGCTCCATCTTAACTATGATCAAATAAAAGTAGAGCCTTTATCTGTCCAACTCTGCATTTCAAATGATGTTAATTTCCCTACTACAGAATCACCTCTTTGCATTGTTAGACCAATGTTGTTTAGCAGAATGGACAACTCTGGGTGATTGGGACATCTGGAATCCAACTCATTTAACAAAATGTGAAGCCTGTCCCTCGCTTTTTCATTGTCTCCTGTGTTGCATGAAATGAAAGGCAAACAAATATAATACTATGCTTATGAGATTAGGACCAAAGATTGACCACGCTCAAAATAAACTAAGAAGGGCAGGAAAACCTTTACAAAGAAAATAATGAAATCCTACAAATGTTTAAGCTAGTTTAAATATTTCCTCAACATAAATAATTGTATTATTAAAATAACAACAACAAAAAAACAACATTAAAATTAGTGTAAAAATGTATTAAAACGTAGTAGCACCATAATGACACATGTACAAAGCTGTAGAGGGTTGGACATAGACTCAGACCACATACTTGTAAGAATCAAATATAAACAAAGAGTTGGTAACTTCCACAATTAACAAAATAAAAGAGAAAAACAGTACTAACAGCAAGAATATAAGCAGGGACCCAAAAATTACTGAGGAATATCAACAGAAGATTGAAACTCAACTCGAATTATCCAAAAGGGAATCAGCCAACAACGTTGTGATAAACGAGCAATTGGAAAATATGAAGCAAATAGTTAAAAATTTTAACAGAGGAAACGATTGGATTTAAACTGACGGTGAAAAGAACAGGGTGGTATGATGCAGTGTGCAGAGAACTTATAGAAGAAAGAAACAAGGCTCGGCTAATGATGCTGCAAATGAGCACAAGAAGAAGACAATTATTGAATGAAACAAGAAGGGTGGCTAGCAACATTTGCAGAAAGGAACAAAGAAAACGAGTTTGGGAAATAATAAAAAAAAATAGTAACGACAGAAGAGTTGGCAAAAAGAAAGAGATGTGAGGGGAATGAACCTGAAGATAAAGCAGGAAAAGAACAGCTTTCACGCAAGATCCCACATGTGTGAACGTGTGAACGTACGGGTGGAGATCTGGTCACAGAGAGCAGTCGAGTACTAGAGAGATGGGCGCAACACTTTATAGATTGACTGAATGGCTGAGGTGGAAGAGACAATGAGGGTTACGCTTTACTTCAAGGAGATCCGGACCCACTGGTCAACCAACCAACACTGAAAGAGATCAAAGAAGTGATCCAGGAGGACCGGACCCACTGGTCAACCAACCAACACTGAAAGAGATCAAAGAAGTGATCCAGGAGGACCGGACCCACTGGTCAACCAACCAACACTGAAAGAGATCAAAGAAGTAATAAGGTACTCCAAGAGAGGTATTACAAAACAACGATATATAGTCAGCCATTGCAGTACATGGCATACGCAGACGATATAGCGCTACTTGACAGAAACAGAAATGACATAATTAAAGCATAAAGGGAACCTGAAAATGCTTCAGTTCAAGCTTGTCTTGATTTAAATGAACCGAAGACAAAATATATGAAAATGTCCAGAAACGCCCAAAAGCAATATAAACAACCAAAAATTTGAGAGAGTGGCTACCAATACTAACTGCATGGCCATATACTTGAGACAGTTTCATCAGTAAAGTACCTGGGTGTTACCATTCAAAAGCTACTGGGAAGCAAAAACCTCTCAATGGGAACAAAGAAGACAATATACACCACTATCATAAGACCAGTAGTAGCTTACGCTAGTGAGACTTGGACCCTTACCAGAAAAGCAGAGAACCTGCGCAATGTTTGGGAGAGGAAAATCCTCAGAAAAATATATGGCCCAGTGATAGAAAATGATGTCTGAAGAATCCGTACAAACCAGGAGCTATAGACCAATTGTACAAAGGCCCACCCATAGTCGCAATAATAAAAAAAAAAGTAGACTGCGCAGGGCAGGGCAGGACATATTGAAAGGATGCCGGATTGTAGAGCAACAAAAGTGATATACAGGTAGAAGCCTTGGGGCAAGCGACTCACCGGTCGTTCAAGACTGAGAAGGATTTACACAAGTTGTGGGTTCCACCATTGAGGTGGAAAGCCGTGGATCGTTCCGAATTGAAGGATGTGGTGGTGGAGGCCAGGGCCCTACAAAGTGTATTGTTGAGAAGCATGCTGGTTGCCAAGGGTATATTAACTCTTTGTTTTACGCGTTTCCTTGTTTGTTAAAATCTTTAAATCTCTATTAAACAGGGGTATGTATGTACCTGTCATACCTTTGAGAATTTAAGTATAAGAATGATAGAATTTTAAAATATTTTTTTTAAAATGTATCAGAACGTGAGCAGAAATAGCTAAATGTTTGTAAAAATAAAGTTGTTGTTTTTTTTTACTAACAAACCCAAAAAAATCATTGGCAGAGTTGCAAGAATTTCTGTTGTTAATTTGTCTTGTTCTTCTTGCTGTTCCGAGATTTTAAGAATTCCATCAACTTCTCCGGGTATGTCATAGTTACTTACTTCCTTAATTTTCATGAAATACCTGCAAAGAAAAGAGTAGTTTGCACTGTTACTCTCTTTAACTCAAAATTCATATTAGCTGCCTTTCTGTAAAGGTCTTAGTAGAAACATAATAAGATAAATATTCACCAAACTGATTGCTTATGTGGAGTGAGTTTTAAAAGGGGTCATTTGTAAAGGGAAGAAACTGGATTATTAATTGAAACTATGATGTGGAAGGGTTAAAGTTGTGTCTCGTTAAATACATTCTTTAAATTTTAACAAAAACGTTTATATAGCCCTAAATCCAAGAGACGTGGTTGTGCAAATTGAACTCATAAAACTGAGTAAGTAAATATTTCATTTTAAGAACATTAGAAGAAGTTATTCTCTAAGTAGCATGTGATTATCTCGAAAGAATGTCTTTCTTTGATCTATATTTCATAAATAATATTTAAGAGAAAAAATATTGTATAATTTTCATAGATAGATCTCTCCAGTAGTTATGATGAATTAAACAAGAATTAGCTCTTGTCTACATTAGAAAATTTACTGCAAGCAAACTTTCAATGCACAATTTTGTCTGATTCTTCTTCTCCCTATAAAAAAAAATTCTTGAAATTACTGTGGTAAACTAAATTCACATATTTTATTATAACATTGTTATTTGTATGTGAGGTGCAGTGAGCCCAGCCCTAGGCTTGCTAGGCTGGGAAACCGCGCTATAGAATACTACTTTAATAATGATAACAATAATGGTGTCATTTTTCTCTGCTACAACATGACTAAAGGAATGTTCACTGACAAACACATTGTCATTTACTTCAGGGCTTCTTGATTCTTGCCTTGTCTTTGCAGAATGTTGGCTTTTCTTGCAAGTGCCCACTTGTAATAATGAACTGGTCCAACTGATTTCAGAGTCTCGATGGCAGAGTCCAAGTGTTTCTCTGACAGCTTCCAGTTTATTCCTTTTTAAAAATATAAAATAAAAAAGATAGCTTTTTTGTTAAAAACAAGAACGCAAAGACAACATCGTTATTTCCGCTAGCTGCTTGTCACATCTTTGGTAATAAAAGGGGGTGGTGGGGAGACTGCAATCGGGTGAGCAAAAAATGAAATGAGTAAAAAAAAAGTATGGACAGGAAGCATTCGTCAGCGAACGAACAACAGAAGAAACAGAATCAAATACAAATTACACTCATCTGAAAAGTAGTGTCCGAGAGGGCAGCAAAAGAATTGTGACGCGTTTGTTGTGTTGTTGCGTTCCTTTTTTCTACTTTGTTTTACTTATTTCCTTTGTCACATCTTGTCAAATCTTGTCACATCTTGTAAATTTAATCTTATTAAATGGAACCAGATGCTAATAGCTTACCAGCACCAGATGCTGCGATATGCCCTATACATTAGCTCACCGACGACAGATGCTAAGAAGCGCCCTAGATATTAGCTCACCGCCAGATGTTGGGATGTCCCCAAACGTTAGCTTACCGATGCCACATGCTGTGATATGCCCCAGACATGCTTCTAGCACTGCTTGTTGCTGTGGACTGCCATACTGTTTTGCACTAATGAACAGCGCCTTGTAGAAGTCTTTACTTTCATTGGGAAAGCACGCCGTAACAAGACGCCTTCCGTGTACAGCAACCTGAAAGACGAATGAAATTATTTTAACATTGTTCACATCAATATTAATTAATAAATAGATCAGAGTCATTGACTGAAAAAACAAAATTACTGCCTTACTACATGTACTTCTTTTATTTCAAAACCATGCTCAAAGCGAGTGGCGCACTCTCAAAACAATGATCGCTCTTGGGCAACTTCTAATGCCCAGTCAAAAACTTTCCCTCAAAGGAACAACCTTAAAGTTGTTACTGTGTATGGTGCAGACTTTTAAGGTTCGGAGGGTAAAAATAATTAAGTTATTTTATTTTAATAGCAAACCTTTAAAATATCTTTGTCAGACTGTTGAATATTATTTGAACGCAGCAAAAAAAAAAAATTGTTAAATCATTATGCTTAGGTTGCTGTAGTATATTACCTTTAGGAAAGCATCGTAAGTCCCTGATGTACAGTTGATGGCTAGTTCCAGTACGTGTCGCACGTGTGGCCATTCCTGGGCCAGGCACCCGTACACTTGACCCTTCTTACCATGGAGCAGGATGTTTTTCTCCGCATTCTTAAGGACGTGACTCACAAAGACGGTAAAACTGAAAGTAACGAGTGAAGAGTGAAAGTGACAAACGATTAAAAGGCGATTTTAAGTTGGGTTCTCTAAGATAAGTATACAAATATCTGGTTTAAAAAATGTTTGAGTTAGCTTAAATATACGCCTATATTCTTAAAAAATCAGTTTATTTGAAAAATAATGTAAGTACGATACTTATCAGCAAAATCTTAATAACTGGAGGGTATTGCAATAGCAGAAAAAAATTCTGACCTATTACAGGACTGGTCTTTAATGACCAACGTGCCCTGCGTTTTGGCAATCTTGCTGTAGTAGACAAGCAGAGGATGCACAGCCAGTCTGTTGCCATTATCGTAAACTGCACGAAACACGTAGTTGTCTTTGAGTCGCTTCAATAATACTTGCACCCATTGGTCGAATCGGTAGACATCCATTTGCTTTTTAAGAACTTCAATCAAGTTTTCTGAAAGTAGACAGAAATATATAATGGCTTAGCTACAACTCAAATTTAAAAGACAAAGCGTACATCAGGATAATAATATATAGCCACACGTGATAAATAAAGATATATAAAATAAATAAACAGAACACCGTGTTAGTTTAGATCTGTTGCGTAGCTTGTGAGGTGGGGGGAATGGTTGTGGTGGACCGCACCGGGTGACTCCATTCCAAGGGGGCGAGGGAGGGGGGACACAATATTTTTTTTTTTTTTTTTTTTTTTTTTAAAAAGCATATTCACAGAGCACACACTGCTCGGTCTAATTGAATTTCATAAACTTAATACCGATAACACGTACATTTTCCACACGTGTGCCCAATCCTAATGGGTTCTTTATTAAAAGTTCAATGTTGATGCTTCAGAAAACACCTTTTTGACCATTATTCAACGCCGATTAAAGTGTTCGGTAACATTTATAAATGATAGGCAACTATATTTATCTAAGTTCTGAGAAACAAAGCTTTCCATTGATACCAAATGCGACATTATCCGACAATTCTAAGTAAATAAATCGTATCGGTAAAAATTAAAAAATTAAAAAATTGAATTTCTCCCCATTTATAGGGTCAACAAAATAATATTTTAAACAATTTTCTATTAACTTTGAATAATTTATTTTAATTTTTTTTTTTAATTTAAAAAAGAAAAAAAATGTTTTCGAGACCAAATATATCGAAACCTACAAATACAGATAAATTGATATTTTCGCATATTCGTCACTAGTACCGCCGCTTAACAATAGAGCATGATTGTCTTTTACATGATGTCTGCGATTCCGCATATATCTGCTAACTTTGCCTATCTGATGATCTACTTGAGGAAGTTAATCTTACACAGCAGTGTCTGTAGACTAAAGGCTTTACTCTTGACAAAGTGGTGACCAACCTAGATACCTTAAGACAGATTGTTTCTGCATGAGAAGCGCTGTCCCTTTGTGTAACGTGCTATTGAAACCCCGGAAGGCAATTTTACAATCAGACCAATGTGAAATTTTGGTAGAGAGAAGATTGAGGTTTAAGAAGATAATGGCAGGAGAACAATTAATAGATGCGGGATTCTCTCTGCGAGAAGAAACACATGGAGAAGATTGATTGCATTGCTGGCGTTCATTCTGATAAGACCATCAGTGATCAAGGAAATAACAGATATGTTTGGGGCTGTTCAAGCTAAGAGTCTCTTATCAACAAGTGAAGAAGAGTTATTGGTGTCCGATCCAAAATGAGCCTCTTTCTATGATGAGTTGTCGGGCGATGAATTTTTTAAAAAAATACGAAGTCATAGAAGACACCTAAAGGCAGCTGATATTGGATTTCACAAAGTCATGGACTGGTCAGAAATTGATGTCACGAAATTCATAGCCGAATGGGACTTCCTAGAATCTCCTCAAATGCTCTCGCTTAGCCTTCAATTGTTTCTTACGAGCTGTGTGTTTGTGGCTTCCTGTGAGCCAAACTTTTCAAACTAAGGCTTATCAAGAACTATCTACGATCCGCCAGGCGGGTACGATGCATGATAATCTCAAAGGCGAACCGCTGAAAGCGGCAAAATTTGTTCAAATCAAAAAAAAAAAAATTTCTCAACGCTTCCCACAATTTTCCAGAGGGCGACAATTGAATACTTTCACCCAACCTAAAAATGTTTAGCGCCGGCCCTGCCACCATGGGGCAGTGAAGTCTTTCTGATCTGGCTCTACTATCAATTAAAAATGATACTGTGAACAATATTGATTTTGGTCAAGTGATTAGCAGATTTGCAGCTTTGAAGAACGGGAAAAGACAATTTGATTAAAGTAAAATTAATGTAAAAATAAATAACACTTTGCGTTGTTACAGTTCTTAAATAAATACATTGACCTCGTAACATTAGAATGATCTGTTTTTGTTCTTGTCATTATTATACAGTCGACTTATTTTAACATTAAAAAATCCCCAAGTCGGGGGAGTGGGGTGACACCGTGGTTTCACTGCAACGGGTGACACAAACCCTAGCTACGCAACTGGTTTAAACTCTTGCAATAGTTTAAAAAATGTATTTATTTGTATTGTGGAAGTTCCTACCCTCGGTAAAAGTTGAGTCCACGGAGCTGCCAAAGTACATGAGAAGTTCTAAGTCAGGTTTTGGCAGCCACCCTTCTACGTCAGTGACTCTCTTGTCAAATATCAGAGAATGGAAATCTGCATCCAAACACACGCGTTTTTCCAAATGTTCTGGACTAGATCGGGTCGCATCGTCAACAAGATATTCTTCCGCGAAACGAGTGACAGCTTCTGGAAAACACAAAAACTTCTGACAAATCTTTATATAGCCTGTCACGTCTACACCAGGGGCGTGGTGTTCCAGTAACGCCTTGATGTCGATGGGGTCAGTCAACATGTCAACCTCCACGTGTCCAGGATTGCTTCCTGCAATAGGAAACTTCTTGTATGTTGTAAACACAACACTGACCATGAAACCAGCCGACCACCAAAATTTGGACAATTTTTTCAAAAACGTCAAAAACTCGTGGTCTCTACCAGAGGTTCGCACACTCTCACATTTGTGGAACACAAAAATATGATGATGTTTTTCGCAACGCATAAGCAAAGATTGAATCTGACTTAAGACGAACGCCTCCGTGTAGGTGTTTGATGAAGTACTGAAGGTGCGGCCCTGCCGTATTGTGGCCATGACGGTAGCAAGGATATCTTGAAGTGTAGCCAGTCCCTTACACATGAACGAGTGGTACAGGAATCCATCGTGTTGACTATTGGGCTGTGATTCTTGCAATTCTTGGATAGCCTAAAATATGCCAAATCAAGACTACTATTAAAGATTTTTTAATTTATAAATGCAATATTTCTTCTTATTTTGCCTAAACCGATTATAATTTGTTTGATTCCATCTTCTGAAATAAACCCACTTTATAGTAGGCCAGGATTTGTTCACTTTGTAAGGAAACATTTGAAGTACAATATGAATGTATATATTTGTATATCATATTATGTTTTATATATATATATATATATATATATTTATATATATATATATATATATATATATATATATGTGTGTGTTTGTGTGTGTATGTATATGTATATCATATTATGTTTTATATATATATATATATATATATATTTATATATATATATATATATATATATATATATGCGTGTTTGCGTGTGTGTATGGAAATGAATATTAATTAAACAAGTAATGCAGATAAACTGTGTGTTAAAATATCCATTACCTGATCAACTAAAGTTGATTTTCCCACCATAGGCGGCCCACAAACTTGGGTGATTGTTCCAAGCTTTGTGATCGATGATCTGATTGAATTATGGATATCGTTTCTGATGTTTGGACCAAACTCATGTCGCACTGGTCTTGTTGTTTCTGCTAGGAGTTGACGAGATAGATCGCCGGGGTGTTGAAGCTGCTGGCTGGAAGGAAAAGTCGGTTGTGTGGCTTGAACATGGTGAAAGTGTTGGTGTGGGTCATCGTGCCTAGGGTAAGACGTAATGGTATATTCTTCTCTGTTGAACCTTTCGGAGTCAGTCTGGTGGTAGTTTGAGGTGGGACTGTGGAAATGTTGTTTAGGTTGATCATGGGGATGTTGATGTATCACCTGAGTGGGCGCTTGAATACCATTAGTGGGCGCTGGTATATCTAGAGTGGGCGCTTGTATGCCCTGATTTGGCCCTGGTATATACTGAGTGGTTCCTGACAAATTATGAGATAAGTAAATTATTCTGCGATAAGGATCTGTCATACTCTGATCGTTGTTCTCTTCCTCTCCCACAAGGCGGGCATGATAAAAGCCCTGATCTGGGGCAGTCCAAGTGTGAACGGGAGAACAAAACGCCGTGATATTGTGTGGACTTGGTCTCATTTGAAGCGTGTGTTGTCGAACAAGCTGTTGGCCCATAAACCTTTTATACATAGAGCCACAGCCATGTGGGCCAACGGGGGCTTGGTTTGTTCCTGGGGCCTTTTTTGTTCTCTGGAGTTGATCTTTAAAATGTCCTCCAAGTAAATCCTCCATTTTTAATGAATTGACTCAAATGAAAAATTATTTGGATAGTTTGTGACGTTCTCCGATAGTTTTTTAATGTTGATACAGGTAATGTTAACTGCAAATAAATTAAATTAATAAATAGAGTATATTCGTGAAATCTCGTCTCGTAATGATCAAGGGGCCCGACGTGAACATGTTGGCAAACATAGCGATAGGTGGAGCCACCTATGGCAGAAAGATAGTAATTCCAGTGGCACATTCCTGTACACCAGTGGCTCTCAGCCTTCCTATTGTCATGACCCTTTGATACAGTTCCCATTGTTGTGGCGACCCCCAACCAAGCAATTCTTTTCTTTGCTACTTCATAACTGTAGAGTAAATTGTTTTTCAGTGTGTTGTAAAAGGGTCGTTTGACCCCCAAAGAGGTTGCGACCCCACAGGCTGAGAACCGCCTTTCTACACGATCTATGCTGCCGTAAATTTCCTTAGATATATATATATGTATATATGAATATATGTATATACATATAATAGCATTAGTAAGCAATTTGAAATATTTTATCTCTCACAACTTTGGCTTGTGTTGATAACTATGCACTGCCTTCGCCATGTACACTTGTGTATCTGTAAATTAGGTGCTTAACTAGGCCAAGGTACTAAAATATTGTTATGAATGTCCTGGCTGCTTCTGCCCTTAAAAATTCTCTACTCTCATGAGACGGACATAGTCGTGGCATAAATAAATGGAGTGGACCTACTACAGTAAATATAGAGTGGACATACTACATTAACTACGGAAAGAACATACTACAGTAACTATGGAGAAGACGTCCGGCAGCAACTACACACATATTGGAATCTGAGAAATACACAACACATGCCAGATGGTGTTAGTTTGTTACTTAATTTTTTTGTAATCCTCTGAATCAAGTCAAATTTATTGTTTGCTCAATATATAGCTGACGTTACATGAGAACTGATACTAAATTATTTGACACCTATTTGACTCATGGAAAGGAACAGTTGGGTCCAGACAAGAATTGCGGAAGTCAAACACCAGCCAAATACGAACAACTCCATTGGATCTAGGGTGTAAAGTACTGAGAAGGGGGGGGGGGTGGTAGGGCGGAGGGGTTATAACTTCCCCTTATTGAAAGGTTACCAAAATATTTAGGCTGATATTGCAATCTCAATACTCAAATAAATGGGGGGGGGGGGTGGTAGGGCGGAGGGGTTATAACTTCCCCTTATTGAAAGGTTACCAAAATATTTAGGCTGATATTGCAATCTCAATACTCAAATAAATCAATCAGACACAACTGAACAGCGATATTCTGATGTGTTTGGTAACTCAATGAAATGAGTTGGTTTATTTATTTATTTTTTTAAGTTTTTCAAATTAAGTTTACCTTATTAAAGAAAGTTTATATATTCAGATCTTCTGATCGTCGTAGCCATTTGAACAAATCCTCTGGAAATGCCAAGAATCTGCCAATTTCTCCATGTGTCTAGATCAACGTGTCCTTCACTAAACGATGTAGTAAATTACACAAACACGTCCACGCGTAACCAGTTTATGAACAACCATTCAGACTTTGATCTAAGTAACTATTCCGTCAAACGCTTATAGCAGAAGCTTGAACACACCTAGCCTAATACAAGACAATAAAAAAAAGTGTGCAGTTGATCTACAAGTACTACAAATTATCAAAGACAATTTCTTTGTGCACACTGTGCAAATATAACTTTAAAATATCTTTTTTCCATAATAACACATACTATAGATACATATTTATACAGACATGCGTGATCTGGAGAGACAACGCCCTGTTGAATAGCAGAGTATTCCCCTGCTGTTTAAAGAAGTTAGATCTGTCACAACAGGACGAGCTGTGAGAAATAGCGTTAATGCAATTGGGGGGAATTCCATTCTCCGACGTTTCTAAATTTAGCGTTTATGGATATCCCCTTTTTTTTTTTGGACCGTAGTTCCGTGTTACGTGTGAAGGGCTTTAAAGAACTCATCTTGACTTTTTTTATGTCATTGACCCCATAAAGTTTTAAAAAATGGGATATAGCTCTTTTTTTTTTTTATAGTGAGAGTCAGTGGAGTATCTCGGCGTAATGCTACACACGGCAACCTGCCTAATGACATAATAACATATATTGAACGTGGGCGTGGCGGTCGCCCTAATATGCCCCACATAAGGCACCCCCACCACGTACATTAATTGATTACGTTTTAAGCCTCAACGCCAAACATCCAGTGCAGATGTTTAACACTAGCAAGTTACAAGTTTGTTGTTGTTGTTTTAATGCGGATGATGGAAGACACCAAAAACAGACTTAGCTACCCCCACCCATACCCCTAAAAAAAAAAACACACACACACACACACACTTTTTTCTTTTAGACTTCCATTCCAAGCCCTTTATTGGACAAGATAATTGATTTTTAAGACTCAAATAGAGGAGCTGCGTATATAATTTTTATATTTGGCAGGGTGACTGGCTAGGTAGTGTTCGGCAATACGTCATATGACGTATTTTTAGGGCGTGAATCCTGCAGAAACGCATGGAAGCTGCTTTACTGTTGTTGTTTTTTTTTTTAAATGTTTACACATTGCTAAAAAATAAATACATATTTTATGGGTGGGGGGTATCTTGGGTGAGTTCCCTCTAGTTTTTTACCCCAGGTCTTGAACCAAGCCCAGACTTGCGCATGCGTCACATTCTTTAACTGAACATAGCCTGTGGGAAAAACTGGTGGTTACGTTGTCAAATGAGAATCAAACGAGGTTTAAGGGAGAAATAAAAGAAAGTGGGATGAAGTGGAAAAGGTAAACATTAGGGCTGAAATGTGGTAAAATTGGGTGAAGGGTTGCAGGAAGGTGTTGCAAGGTGGCAGGCTGCACAAGTACAAGACATTGTTTCCACAGACCTTTGTGTATTCTGTATAGCGCAGAATATCTGAGGACAATTCTGTTCTGAAGTAAGTGACTATTGCTGTTATGTTCTTCTTTACTCTAAGTGGTTAAATAATTGTTCTTCTTCATTGTATACATTTACTTATGGAAATTAATTTTAAAACAAAAAAAAAAAAAATACTCGAACAATGCAATTATTTATTGATGAGACACAAACAAACAAAAAATATTCGAAACTTTTCATTGGCATCTTTTTAAACGTATAAACGTAACATAAATATTTTTTAAAAATAATAAAATTACTCATTAAATATGACAATAATATTCAAAATAAACACACATATCATTTAAAATGTTAAATCACTTAAATGTCATATTTATCTGACCCATGCGACCATCTAAACAAATGTGTTTGTTGTTCTTTCCAAGAGTTATTACTCAAAAGACTTCCACGTCGCATGTCCATCTTGTGGAGCGTAAATCTGTTTGTTTACACACGTGTCATTTTAAAACTTGCTCGTGCGGTGTTCACCTGGTGAATGGCTGGGAGAATGGAGCGACGGCGGGTTGACACTGTCGCTCACATTATCGTGGTTGACCGCATCTGCTTAGCGGTTGATTGAAAGGGTGGGTGGGTGAGCTCAGATCTAATTATTTTTTTAAAGTTGTATTCCTAGGTAAAGAGTTAAGTCTTTTTTTAAAAAATGCATTGCGCAAAAAAATGTCTGTGCAGAATTTGTTTTGGAAATATATTTTATTTTTAAAAGAAGTATATTTAAGTTTGGTTTACATTTAATTCGAATCCTTTGGCTTCATAGAGTGCTCATCTACACTTCTGTACAGACTTTCTTTGCATTAAACATGTTAAGAAATTTTAAAATTATAATATGTTCTTATTTTTAATGTGTTTCTATTCCTCTTTGTTAGAAAGTTGTGTTTTTTGTTTTTGTTTTTTGTAAAGTTTTTTTAATATTTTTATTTTATTTATATGTTAATAATCATTCTAGGAGGTTAGAGGTCAAACTTATTGTATGAACATTTTCAAGAAATTTCTTCTCAACATTTTTTTTTTACATTCGTCGACAGTTGTCATCTCTACAAACTTGGAGCTCAGATGCCGTCGTGAGAATACTCAAGTGACAACGCTGTCATGAGAATGCTATCATGAGAATGCTATCGGGAGAATACTGTCGTGCGAATGCTATCATGAGAATGCTATCGTGAGAATACTGTCGTGGGAATGCTGTCGTGAGAACGCTGTCGTGGGAATGCTGCTGATAACTCTCCTAGTACTGAGAGCCTTATTCACAGTTTTTGTTAATCCCTACTGTTCATTGAGTCCTTGAACGATTCCTTGCTTTGCGAAGACGCCTCACTTTCTGGGTGTACGCTAAAATTTGCTGTTCCCATTCTGCCTAGTAGAGGCGAATCTCTAGATGAATATCTAACACCGTGTGCTTCTGCGGGTTCCAGAACATGTTGTTGTCTTACAAACAGTTCCAGCTCTTTTGGGCATCTCTCTGCATGCATTGCCGTGACCATTCCGTCTGGCGCACATGAATTTCCTACGGAACGGGATTGAACATCTGCTGTTTCTCCTGGCGCCATCACGTCTTGTTCCTTGACAAACAGCTCAAGTGCTTTCGCGGTTCTGCTTGCACAACTTCCCATTTCAAAACGATGAACAGGATTATGGAGGATTCCTTCAGGCACCGTTCTCGGAACTTCTAGCAGTGATGGTTGGTCTATTGTTTGTGGCGCTTTGTTAATCGTCTGATCAGGCTGCATTATGGGATCGCCTTTTATTAAGGAGACTTGTGGCTTGTCGACATGACCTCTCTCTGTTACATCCTCATTTCCTGCCACTGACATTTCTTTTTTCATTGTTTGGTCAGAACCCGATTGACTGGACACGATATTCTGGGTCAACTGCTCCTTCACTTTAGTTTGTTGTCTTTCATCGATTTCACCTTCCCAAATGTCATGGTCCCGGCTTGTGGTCAAAGCTTTGCAGTGTCCGCAAGATTCATAAAGAAGTTCAGTCAAAATCTTCAAATCGAGAGACTCGTACAGGGTGCGCTGGATGTAAAAATAGAACCCGCGATGCTTAGCGATGAGATTGTCTCTCGGCGCGGCCTCGTCTCGGCTGTTAATCACGTCACGAACGTAGGCGTTTTCCTGGACGTGTTTCAGCAACGCCTTTGAATGTTCTCTCGTTTTTACCGGATCGCGCCTGCAGTTGATGCGTACGCCGTGCTCGTAGGTCAGCATGACGAAATGGTGGCCGTCGACACTTAGGTGGTCAGAGACACGCTGACTGATGGCGACCATGGCCTCGATGTGACTTGCCACCGTCGTGTCGAAAACGGCATTGTGGTCATCCGGGTCAGCACCGGTCAAGAGTCCCGCGTCTTGTTTCAGCACGGCCTTTAAGTGGACAAGCGCCATGTTGACACGGAGCCGGCTGTCGTTGTATTTGACCGAATGGCTGAGGATGTTTTCAGCCTCTTGGTTGTATTTGAATGACTCCATGAAGTCCCCTCTGGTGAGTCCGGGATTTTTTGTTGTTGTTTTTTTTGTTTTTTTTTATGAGGAGGAAACAAAATTAGTTGAGTTGAAGTTAACGTCTTTGACATGATAATTGTTGACACTAAATTGATAATAAATAGTAGTTTGTAGTCAATTTAAGCTGCAAATGTAGCTTTATATTATAATCCTGTATTTCCATTTTAAAGCATTAAGACCCTGGTCTGAAAGATGGCGTTTAAAAATACATAACATTTTTATTTTAACAAAATTCAAACTGTAACCAAAAAAAAATTCAGTTATACCAACAAATATATAGATATGCCTACGACCAATTCTGTTTATATATATTTGTGTATGGGGGTGATTGGAGGTATGATGCTTTACCAGTTCTTATGGTGGAACTATTTTTTTTTTAAATTGGGTTCCGCCCAAGGTCCAACACCCCACCCCTGGGGTGGCAAAATATAAATTACAAAATGACGCTATTAGTTTCGCCCAATGATATCTTTTTTTTTTAAATTAACAGGTGAAAGTTTTCTCTCAACGGCTTCAAACTTACTGTCTGACTTTGATCTCCCCCAGGTGTATCAATGTCAGGGCCGTGTCGTGGTGTGTCCAACCTCGTCTGCGCTGTATCTCTATGGCTTTCATCAGGTACTGGTTGCACGTGCCTACAAGAAAAACATAGGAAAAAAACATCTCTACCCAGCTGCGTGCCGTAACGTGGCCTGAGATGTCATGATTATGATGTCATGATAATGATGCCATGATTATGATGTCATGATTATGATGTCATGATTAAGATGTCATGATTATGTTGTCATGAACGTAAGTTAAAAATCCCCTACCCATTTAATTAAAACTTTTTTAATAAAAAAATTTTAAACTTTATAATCGTTTTTATAAAATGAGTGATTTGCTGGTGGTCGCCCCTAATAGTGTGTCTGAGTAGTGTGTCTGAGTAGTGTTTCTGAGTAGTGTGTCTGAGTAGTGTGTCTGAGTAGTGTGTCTGAGTAGTGTGTCTGAGTAGTGTGTCTGAGTAGTGTGTCTGAGTAGTGTGTCTGAGTAGTGTGTCTGAGTAGTGTGTCTGAGTAGTGTGTCTGAGTAGTGTGTCTGAGTAAATCATATCTAATAAATATTTTGCTTCTGGTGTGGCCCGCTTCTTTCTCGAAACCGCCCCCCCCCCAACCAAACTCTCCATATTCTACATTGATAGTAGTGAGTGGGAGAAAAGGCGGTCATGCGTGACGTGCGAGCTCGGATGATTTCTTCTTCTTTAGAGGGAGGCGACTATTGTATCAATCTATAAAAAGCCACGGGTATGTTGTAGGACTGTCTGTTTAAAGGTAGTGAGTAGGAATGTCTGTAGTCCTATTGTTTAAAGCCCGCCATAT